ATATATATATATATATATAAGGTCAATACTGTATAGGTAATTGTGTGGCTCCTTTGATACTCGTTAACATGCATGTCACCAAATACTGCTTGGTGTCAGTTTAGATGTGATCTCTTGTAATTTGACAACCCATTAAATTTATTCTACAAATTGAACAATGATGTCTGAAATGTTGACACTACAACAATTTGTTTGTGGCACCGTGTAGGATCATTTTGAATTAGATGGCAATATGTTGCAGTACAATTTAGTTATGTTATCACTATGCTTGAAACATGAGACTAAGTTTATTTAAAATATAAGTATTTTTCTCCATTTTTGCTTGGTATAGCATTTTATTGGCTCAAAGCAGAGGGACTTCATGTGCTCTTTCTTTGTATCATAATGGGGCTCATTATAATTTTTAACTCATGCTGTTATATATGTTCAGACTGTCTTTTGACATATTAAATCAGGAAAAAGTAAGGACATCCTGGTAAAACACATAAACTGGATAGCAACATATTTGGTTTCAAAACCTGTATTTGCAAATGGGCAAATGCTAACTCACCTTCATATCATTACATTTATGGCTAAACAAGGATCAGCTGTTAGACTCATAAATCCATAACCAGAAAAATCACTGTAATGCCACTTTAAATGGAGATATGTCACTTTTTCCATGCTGCTGATTTCTTACCCATAAGCTGCTGTATTCATACCCATCTGCTCACAACAAACTCATGTTCAGGCTGCTGTTTAATACACCGTATTATATTACGTTATTATTGTTTAGTGTGTATCTTAGATCCTTGTATACTGTTTATTTTCATACCTCATATTTTGCTATTTTTGGGTGTAAGTGGAACCTTGAGTACACAATTTCATACCACCTCATGTACATGTGATGTGAATGACAATAAAGTCACATTGAACCTTGATATCTTTATTATATGGTACTGAGTTGTTAATATACATAACAGTTTTCCAAATTTCAAGTAATCCTAAATTAGTCTAGGCATATGGAAATGTTTTTAAAGTTTTATAGACATTGTATTTTGTAGGACAGAGCTTTACCTTCAACTGATGGGTGTAAATATAAAGATTTAGGATTACCAGTTTATTTTAACAATCCAAAGGTTGTGGAAGTTCAGTGTTGATTTACAAATGTTACCTTTGCAGATATTCAGATTCACTGATTTTTTATTTTTTTTTTTGCAGTAGCTGACATGGTACTAATATCCACTGTCTCAGCCATTCTTTGCTTTTTACAATAAAAAAAAAGTCCATTACTAAGTAATTAACCTATCTGCATTAGAAATTCCACATTATTCTTGCTAGACATTCTGCGCTTTTCTTGTCCAGTTTTGCTGTTGCCCCTGTCTGAGTATTTGCTGAAACACACCACTTGCATTAATTTAAAAAAATGCATAAATCTGTCAAGTAACACATGTCAACAGGTGACATTTTCTGTCTTCTAGGCTTTAAACAACTTTTAGGTGCACGCAGATGATGAGAAGATATGCTGATGGAAAACGATGCTTACATGTTGGTTACTAGTGACACCAGATGGAAGACACAATATTTTTTATGTTGAGGAACTATACTTTTAATAACATTTAATCTGTACAGATATTTTACAGTTTAATTTCTCTAAATATATTCATATATAATTTTTCTTAGTGTGTTCTGACAAAGGCACTCATCACTGTGTTTAACACGGTTATAAAACAACAAAGTCATAAAGTTTCAGTGCAACGTCTTTTAAGTGTCACAAACATGCACACACACATTGAAGAACATAAAAATGTTTCTCCAGAAAATGTTCCCACGCTCTCAGGACCAAAAGCCAACATTAGTCCTCCGATTGTTATCTGACAGGATTAACTGTTGGACCCAAACACAAATTGCTCAGTTGAGGACATTTGGCAGCTTGAACGAAGAAATAATATACGTTTATACAACAGCAGCAGAAATACAGAGTCAGCTGAGCCTCTCCAGGATCTGAAGAATATTGCTGTGGAATACACCCGTCTGCCCACTGCTTTCCTGTGTGACAAGGACCCGTCCGTCAGGCCGGGGTCTGTGGACCAGGACCATCTCTCCTGGAAGCAGACTGAGCTCTGAGTCCATCTGGGCTAAATGTGTTGCGATCACTCTGTGCCTGGAAGAAAGCAAAACAAAACGTAGTGAGTCAAAATCAATACGATCCATCTCTGTTTTGTTAGTTGTGTGGACTAAAATCCAAACCCTGTTTACCTGATGGGGCTGAACTGAGCTGATGGGGCTGACAGCGATGGCTGTGAGTGTAGCGGTTTGGAATTGATGTCTGAGATGGCCGTTTCAAGGCCTTTCCTGAGAACTGGACCTTTTCCTTCTTTGAGAAAAATCCCTGGTCCATCTCTTCCCATGGTGAGCGACGGGGCCCATACTTCTAAAGGCGAGAGTCCTGGACGGCAGTTGAGGTGAAGCTGGGTTCCTGACGACCACGAGGAGGTGCGACGTCTTGGAGGAGGGGATTCTTCATCTACTTGAAACCGCACCGACTTTTGCGGCTGTGGAAGAGCAAAATATAAACATTGACACGTGATTTGGCTCTCGTGATTGTTTTTCAAATCGAACATTACCTTGTCTGTATTGTATCTGCGTGCGTCAGGTTTGACCAGGATGGACTGAGGTGTGTTTACAGGCTGTCTGGGACGGTGAAATGTGGCTAAGAGGAAGTCTTTTTCCTTCATTGACGCAGCAGCAGAGGGCGCTGCTGGCTCAGTCATCCAGCCGTGTGGTTTTTTAGAGCTAGACCTGATGATGCTCTTCTTTCTCTGCAGGGCAGGTGAGTAACCCGATGCCTGAACTTGTGCAAAAGGTTGTGAGTTGGACGGCATGTTGAAAGTGGACATATGAGAAGGACGGTTGGAGGCTGAAAAAGAAGTGAAAGTAAAATATTCAACCTCAGATGAAATCAAGCAATGATCTGACGGACATAACTGGTTTGTTCCACTTTGGAGTAAGCTGTTGGGGGGAAGAATCAGTTTTGTGTGTTTCCTTGACTGATGAAGCCTTCTGGATGGAAGGTGAAACGTTTCAGCAAAAAAAAGAAACTGTTCAGATGACCTGACTGAAAATTGTTGGATCTGACCGTTGTTTCACGCTCACCTCTGTGTGGGTTAAAAGCTCGCCTCACAGTGTCCCAACCTTGAGCACTCCCATAGAAGGACGGTTTTGCGGCGCCAGCGGACGACATCGCATGCTGTGCTCCATTTGGCACAGATGAGACCTGTCCCGGTGAGTACATCGCTCCATCACCTGTCACCCTATCGAGTGCAAGGACCACAGCAGGATTCTTTGTTGCTGTGGGTTTCTTTCCAGACACCGTGTTGTACCGCGAGGACGCGTTAGCTGCTTTGGTCTCGATAATTCTGGCTGAGGTTCTGAAGTGAAACAAAGACATGTTATGAAAAGCTGAGCTTGAACCTGCTTAATTCTATTAATCTATCTGAGTATAGCACTGAAACACTGATTTTGCATTTACGGGTGTCAATGTCCTTGTACATATTAAGTCACCGTTCATCTCTGACTCCATAAGCACTTAAAAGAGCACAGCCTCTCACCTGAGCACGGGGGTGACGTAGTTGCTGGGAAGAATGCCAACTTTGCCTGTTCTGAGCGACAGCCCACGCAGCCAGCCCTCCTTGAACTTTCCATACACTCCTACCATCTCTCCTGCCTTCAGCTCCAGCTCCTCCAGCCGTCGAGGTTTGTAGGAGTACTGGACAGCACACCTGGAGTCACACATTGAAGTACTTTTAACGCCACAGATTTTATGATGCTTATCCAGTCTGTGCTGCATTTTTACATCAGGCGTTTGTGTGTTGCACATATTACTCCACATTATCACGCCATTAATGCAATGTGCTAAACTGTGACTCACACGCTGATGGAGAGCTGCTGCGTGGAGGAGTTCTTGCCGTCTGCAGAGGCAGAGGGCATTTGGGGGTTCACCAGAGCCATGGAGACTGTAGGCGGCGTTCCGCTGGTCATCTTCTTTTCCCCCTTAAATACATTAAATGTGTAATAGTTATCACATGGAATGCAAAGCCTGACGCATGGAGCGTTATGAGAAAAAATAATCTAAAACACGAGTGCACATCTGCATATAGGGAAACCATATCTTTTTATAAGAACACCCAAGACTCTAGCAGGTTTGAACAGATGACGTCAAAAAAACGTCATCCCACGAGTTCAACGACTTATTTAGATTTTGATGTTAATTCATGTAAATTCAGAGTGAGTCACTGTGAAGGAATCCCTTCAGCTGAGGTCCATTTAAATAGTTCAACTTGATGTCTTTTAACTCGCACAAACATTGACATTCAACAACGGCAAAAGTTTTGAGAGCTCCCTTACTGCTTGCTGTATATTTTGCCTTCGAGAAGCCAGATTTTCTTATAATTTTTATCGTCCACCTCCAAAAAGACAATATGGGTTCTCTGGTCTGTTTGTTTGTTGTTTACTGTAATTAGCAAAATATCCTATAAACCACTAGAATTTTTTTTATGAAACTTGTAGAAAGTAGTCATTGATGAACATCTAGAAAGGATTAATTTTAAGAATCCACTTAAATAAACCCATAGTTAACTTATTATTATAATTATGGCTTTTCCCTCTTCAGGGGTCGCCACAGCGAGTCATCCTCCTCCACCTCACTCTGTCCTCTGCATCCTCTGTCCTCACTCCAAATACCTTCATGTCCTCTCTAACTGCATCCATATATCTCCTCTTTGTCTTTTTCCTGGCAGCTGCATTTCTAACATCCTTCTACCAATATACCCACTGTCCCTGCTCTGGACATGTCCAAACCATCTCAGTCTGGCCTCTCTAACTTTATCTCCCAGCTGTTCAACCTGTGATGTACCTCTGATGATCTCATTCATAATCTTACCCATCTTCCTCTCCTAAGGAGAAACTCAACATCTTCATTTCTGCAACTTCCAGTTCTTTCTCCTGTCTTTTTGTCCATGTCTCTGTCTCCAGACCATACAACATGTCTGGTCTCACCACTGTCTTGTAAACTTTTCCTTTGACTTTTGCTGACACCATGTTATCACAAATCCCTCCTGAAACTTTTCTCCATCCACTCCATCCTGACTGGACTGTCTTCTTCACCTCTTTACCACACTCCCCATTTTCCTGGACAGTGGACCCCAAGTACTTGAAGTCCTGCACCTTTGTGACCTCTGCTCCTTGTAGCCTCACTGTTCCACCAGCCTCCCTCTCATTCACACACATGTACTCTGTCTTACTACGGCTGACTTTCATTCCTCTTCTTTCAAGTGCATACCTCCACCTCTCCAAGTTCTCTTCCACCTGTTCCCTGTTCTCACCACAGATCACAATGTCATCTGCAAACATCATAGTCCACGGGGATTCCTGTCTGACCTCATCTGTTAGTTGGTCCATCACCAGAGCAAACAAGAAGGGGCTCAGAGCCGATCCTTGATGCACTCCCACCTTCACCAATTATTACTTTTTCAGAGAAAGAGTGAGATCATTTTTGCACAAGACATCAGGAATTTGCTTATAAGATAAAATAAAAGAAGCACTTTCTTAACTGGTGGGTGAGTGTACAGTTTTCAAAAATTTTTTACAACGACACAAGGGTGTAGTGACCACAGAAAGATCCATTTAATATTGTGATATTTTTCACACACCAAACCATCTTAGCACCAACAAAACTGGTTTGTTCCACTTTGGAGTAAGCTGTTGGGAGAAGAATCCATTTTGTTGTGTGTTTCCTTGACTGATGAAGCCTTCCAGATCGAAGGCGAAATGTTTCAGCACAAAAAAAAAGAAACTGTCCAGATGACCTGACTGAAAATGTTGGATTGTATACCTGGATTATTGAGCATGGACTTTGTTGTCAAAACCTTTTGTGTTTCAGCAAAACCCTTTTCTTCCTTTACTTTGTCCCGACTTTATATCATAGTTATATAAATCTTACTTTCAACTTGCCAAGATGATAGACGTTCAAAGTCATGTAGAACAAAGCATAAAAACAGACAAACACACACTTCTTCAGAATCTTATCTTTATGATCTAAGTTTCTCAGCTTAAGGGTAAGAGCTGGGAAAGTTTTGACAGGCTTGAAGTTGGCAGGCTGTGAGTCAGCCCTGACATCATCGGTGGTGAGTGACAGAGTGACGCAAAGGTGAGTCCTCCGTTAACAAGCCAGTGTGTAGAATAGATGAATCCCCCTCATTACACCATGTGAAGTGGCTTAATGAGCTTTGTATATCAAATAGACTCCTCTCACATATCCACGTCTTCTTGTTGTTTATAAAGACACAAAAAAAAACTCTTGCCTTTTGCTTTTGCTTTTTATCTTTTTCATGACGTTCATTGATGCTATTTATAGCATCAACACTCAGCTTCTACTTTAAGCATTAATGTTGGCCTGTGGGCATGATGTTTCCCATTTGAAGTCTGGATCCTGCATCTGACTGTGCTGCAGTTCCAAAACACGAGGAGTAGTAATTACGTTGTTGCCAGTGCAAGAACTATTGTCAAAGGCTGTACAGTGAAAAAAGAAAGTTAAGATACATGTGCTGTGCCCTGCAGGCACATGTATCACCCCATTATTAAAGATTTGTCATGTTTAAACTTAAGCATCTATTTTAGCACACACAAATATAAACCTGAATAAAAATTATACCTAGATCTTAATTCTAGTATATAGTCAAGAAACTAAAATGTTTGTTTTGTGTGTTAAAGATTCAATTAATTATTAACCCTTATCTTTATGGTTCTGACACATCCAACAATGTTCAGTCAGGTCATCTTGGATTTGGTACCTGGATGATTGAGCATGAACTTTGTTGCCTTGAACCACTTTGGCTGAGGCTGCCTGGGAGGAGTCAATGGGGGACAGGACGGCCCCCAGAAACCATCTTAGCTCCAGCAAACTGGTTGGTCCACTTAAGGCGTTTACTGCTTGGTGGGGAAGCAGTTTCTGGAACTCCTCAGACTGAGGAAGTCCTCCGGATAGAGGGTGAAATATCTCTATAAAAAAGAAACTGTCCAGATGACCTGATTGAGAATTATTGGATTTGACACCTGGATGATTGAGCATGAACTTTGTTGTCATCTGGACAGTTTCTTCTTTTTGTTGAGAGACATTTTGCCCTCCATCCGAAGGGCTTCATCAGTCTGAGGAGTCCAAAACAAACTGTTTTCCCCACTAAGCAGTACACTCCTACAGTGGACCAACCAGTTTGCTGGTGACAAGATAGTTTCTGGGGGTTGTCCTCTCCCCCGTTGACTTCTCTTAGGCAGGCAGCCACAGCCAAAGTGGTTCAAGACAGCAAAGTTCATGCTCAATCATCCAGGTAAAAAAAAAATCCAACAACGGTCTCTCAACAAAAAGAAGAAACTGTCCAAATGATCTGACTGACAATTGTTGGATTTTGTACCTGGATTATTGAGCATGAACTTTGATGTTCTGACACATCAGTGATGTTGTATAATCCAGCTAAAAGAAAAAAAACATTTGTTTTAACTATTTGTTTCTTTCTGTTACTTTCTGAAGCAGATGGTCGCTTGTCCTGAGCCTGCTTCTCCTAATGGTTTCTTCCTCATGAGGGAGTTTTTCCTTTCCACTGTCACCTTCGTGCTCGCTCAAGATGAAAGTTCTTATTATTTTGCATATATGAATGTTTCTGTTCAGTGCCCTGAGATGACTTCTGTTGTGACTTGATGCTACATAAATAAACTGAATTGAATTGTTCTTTGTTGATGTTTCAGGAGTCATTCCAAATGTTGTGACTCAGCAGCTGCAGAGCTGCTATCTGCCAGGGAGCAACTAAAGTCTATTTTCACAGGCAGAAGCTCTTTAAAACCAATTAATATATGAAAATAACAGAAACTGCAATCATAAAGTTGTATAAAAAAACTTGAAAACTGCTTACTATAACAGTTTTACAATGAGAGTTCACTACATGTCATTTATATTCAATTTAGGAAACTTTGTGACTGCATTTGCTGCAAACTGCGAGTATTTGTTCAAAGTCTGATATTAGTTTGAGTTCTCATGCTAGTTTTTCTTGTTTCTCTTGTGCATCGATTTCCTGCTTCAATTAATAAAATTTGTTTTAACACTGACATTTTTAGAAGCTGTAGGATAAATTACTTAAAAAGATACACTTCCTGCTGCTTTGGTCAAAAGACCACATGACTACCTGTCATAGTTGTACTAAAGTATGTTAGAATACACGTAAATAAACTGATCCTATTTTACAAGATGTTGTGAAGCTAATTCATATATTTTAGTGGTGTTTCACTGATCTTGACAGTAAAGAAGGACATTTAAGTATGTAGATAGTTTTTATCTGGGGAAAAAGATAGCTTTAAGACCTTTTCATTAAATATACACAGCTGCTGTTTATATGATTCAGACTGATTAACCTCACCCTTTATTTGAATATAAGATAGAAAGTAGCTGGGGAAACAAATGTGACACTGTAAAATAGAAACCTCCTAAACTTCCTAATGTTGTCATCAAAAAACTGAATTCCTCCAATATACATAGCACAGAAAATGGAAAAGTCCTGGAAGAAGCAGAAATGTTGAACCCTAAAGAGGTTTCCTGATTTTAAAAAAAAGTCATTCATTAAACTTTTAATTCTGTATATAAAAAAATCTAATGGAAAATGTGTGCTTTAATTGAATTGGTTGTAAGATAAATATTTTTCAGATTTTTTTTTGTTACATGCACTTTCTTACCTTACTGATAAATCTTTAATAAATAACTTTACACACAATGTGACAAAGAGAAGCACTTGCTGCTGCCTGCCTCAAAACAAAACAGTTTTCTTCATTAAACTTTATTTAGAGTTCTCCTTTCTACACGCAAACATGTACGAGTCAAACAGAAAGGTGGATTTGCATAATTTTGTAGTGAACTAGACCTCCTACATCAATCTGTCTCTGAAGACCTTCAGGGGACAGGAACTGTTATTTCATTGATTTGAATCCAGAAATACAAATTATCTCATCAA